GTATAAGCCCAGCCCAATACCGACGGGACAAGTGCCAGAGCTTCCCCTTGGACCCTGAGTTTGCCTTTTATGATAATACTACTTTTGGCTTAACGGAGGCAGAGCAGCAGATGATCGACCTCCCCGGATATTTTGGCTCAAATGAAGAGGATGAAACAAGTACTTTAAGTATCGAGAAGCTGGTGATCTGAGTGATTCGTCGCAGCCCTGCAGGAGGGGCGTGTGTGGGAGACGATCTGCGGGATCTGTTGGCTTCTGGTGGAAGGAGCAGTGGGAACCGTGTTCCCTCTGCACAGAACAGGAAGGAGTAATGCCCCAAGTCTGACTTGTGGGAACACATTCCTTTCTAATTACTGGAGAGTGCTTCCATGTCATTATTTTTTGTATGTATGTGTGTAAAATACACACAGAATGCCCTGGGAAAGCACGTGTTAGTGAAGGCGTGACGCAGGAATAGCCCATAGAGTTTATTGCATAAAGCAGTGACGTTTCATGCATCATACATGATGAATGGCACTGATCTAGCCTTTCTCACCTTGTGGACTGTGTACTAGTAGATTATGAGATCCTAAAGCATCTGTTGTCAGCTATCCTCCACCATCTGTCCTAATTAGTGAATGATTTCCCATTTAGAAAACACAAACCTCAAGTTTTGAGCAGTTTTCATAGTTTTTCTGGTAGTTGTTATTGAACTGTGTTGATTCGTCATAGTTGCTCAAGTAAGTCATACAGTGATGGTTCTTTTAACTGGCTGGATGAAAGTACAAACAACTGTTGCTGGATACTTGGAGTGAATTTAAAATTGAGGGGGCTTTTTTCATCATTCAAGACTTTGATACTTTATTTCTGTCAGTATTTCTACCAAGAAAACAGTAATGTACAAATATTTGCTACTGGGCGGGCAAAGAAAATGGATGGTCACATTTTAGCCCTCACAGAAATGTTACTACAGCATTTAAGCACCTGTAAAAGGCAGTGAGAACTGTTGAATCACCCATTCTTTCCATAATCATCCTTGCCTTTATTAAACTTCTTTTTAAATGTAAATAAATTGACAATAATACTGCTACTGCAAGCTCAAAATAAATTATGAACAAAACCAGTGAACAACAAATTTACTTGATGAATACTTGTTGTGCAAACAAAAAGAAAAACTGAAGTGGCTTGACAACATCTGGTGATTCCCAGATAATCTGATGGTGAAGTACAAAAGTTACTTTTATTTTTTTTCATGTGCTTTAAAACCAGAGATCAAAAATTGGCAATTACACACTGCTGCGAGTATTCAGAGCTGGGTTGAAACCCCAGTTAACAACAGAGACAGAGCTCGGGCCAACAAGAATGACTCAGAGACTTTGCTGCCATTTGTTAGGAAAACCGTCTCTTCAGGGAGTTTGCAGAGACCAGGAGAATGCTGTTGGGCAACAGTAAGAGGAGATGCTGCCCGTGAAGGATGGAGTGAGAGAGGGTAGGTTCAGGAAAAGGACTGTCAGTCTTGGAACAACTCTCCCGTAAGGAGCCCAACCCTACGTGCCCCTTAACCCGCCTTGTGGGTGTGAAGGAAAAATGAGTGTGTGCTCAGTTCTCCAGCAGTAGGGTGCTGTCCTTCTCAGAACTGTCATTCTGAGTGGAAGGATAAGATTTCCCAATCCCACTTTTTTTTTTGTTTCCTCCAAACCAACAACAATTTTAAAGGGAGAGCAACATCACTGTGTGCTAGCCAGTTACCCATCGCACCCCACTGAATGTCCAAAGCCTGCAGGGTGACTTGACAGGCGCGCAGTGGGAGGACTTGCTGGGGCAGCCTGGGAGGAGCCAGACTCTCAGCGTTTGGCCGCCAGAGTCAGACCCTGCATTTGAACAGCCTTTTTGATGGGTAACATTTTGTAGCTGCTGCTGGAGCACCAGATCTGACTCACAGGGCAATGTGAGCTCCCTCTTTCCCAGGAGCTGCACCAGCACGCTGTGTTGTCAACGTTCAGCCCTTCGGCACGGCACAGCATTCGTACTAGCTGCGTGTTCCCATAAACTGTCAACTTGAAATGTGGTTTAAAGCATTTGAAAACATGTCCACACTTGAGGACTGATCCAAGGGTAATCAAATCCACACCTGAGAACTGATCCAAGGGTAATCAAATATAACGGGTCTTTAAATTGACTTAAATGAGCTGGAAATCAGACCTCTGAAGCAATTGCTACTCAGGTTACTTACCACCCCCGTGCTAGGGTAGACTCCGCTGTGTGAAGTGTGCTCGCCCTGAAGCAGTGATCTGTCAGCGTTGGAGCTACAGTGCTACATCTATTTACAGCTTTGGTGAGCCTCTTGGCGCAGGAGACCCTGGAGAAATGAGAGATAAAATGTACAGCAGAGCAACATTCAGCAGACATTTCCCTGACCTTCAGCGGGAGTGATTTGAGCTTGGCGGTAGCCCTCAGATAAAATAAGTACTCTGCTGGTGGCATTTTACCCTGTTTATTAAGATAAAGAGGATTCTGAAACACTTCCTAGGGTTGCTGTGGCAGTTGCAGTGTCCTACACAAAGCCTTGTGACCCCTGCATCTCCAAGGGGGTTCTCTGCACTGCAGGAGGGTAGAGGAGGGGAAGCTTTGCTCCAAGCCAAATACAGCTTCCTGCAGCCTTGTCTCAGTGTTGGGCTCTGTTCAGAACAGCTACTGTAATGCATTAGATGTACTTAGGTAAGATATCTATCTTACCTAAGATAGCAAGGCAGACCCCTTCCCTCCCAGCTTGTGAGATCATGGCCCCTTTTTCTCTCTCAGAGAAAAACGCACCGTGAACACTGATGTTGGCTGAAGGCAGTCCAACGATAATGCCTGCCTCTGCCTATTGACACAGGGGGAAACAGGCTCCAAACTGTGGACTTCTACATTGCGCACTGCTCGCTCCCTGGGGAACTGGGATGGGTAGCAGTTGTCTGAATAAGCCCTGTTGACTATCTCCAGCTTGATGCTCCATTATCAGATGGGTTATCACCTGCTTAATGAACTGTCAAACCACTAATGCTGTTGCTTTGGTGGTGTAGTTGATTTCCAGCACGCAGAGTTGAGCATCACCAGTCTCTAATCTTTACCCTGCTTCCCTAGCCCTCTACTGAAGAATGGGATTGAGCATCATCTGCCAGAAGGCATTAACTTATTTCACTCACATGTCTCTGTGTCTTCTGCCTAGACAAAAATCATCCTTACTGCCCTCAGCACTGCATCAGTGGTGACATGGTTATAACATGTGCAGAGTGATTCCTTATGGTCCCAACGTACAGTTACAACCTTGCACTAAGATTTTACTACTGTAAAATACAGAAGTAGTGATCAGAAAGGAAACAGTAAGTGCTGGCTTTTTGCAGCCCTTCACAAGGGGAACCTCATTTCAGAGATGTAGGTGCAAGTTTTGTTCCACATGGGTGTGTGACAACACTTGGAAAGAGGGCAGCGATGCAGCCTTGCTGAGGCACAGACTTTCTTAAAGCTCCCTGGAATGGCTCCCTGGAATGGCTCCCTGGAATGCTGGCCCATTGTGGTCCCATGTTCACGTTTGCAGTCATTGGGATGGAGCGAGAACAGGGTTTACCTCTTGCCAAAGCAGAGGAACCAAACCAAATGTTACACTGAACCTTCACATGTCTCTGCATTGTCGCCAGGACAGCTTGAACCATGGAAATTAAACGTACAGACCCTCTCAACTACCCACAACAGCACCAGGGTACAAGTCAAAAAGCACCAGGGACAACACTGAAAGAATGTTATGAGCTTTCTCAAGCTTTTCATCCAAATTACTGTTCAAGTTCTTACTGTTGAAAATCAGATACAAAGTGTTGAGTCCTACTCAGATGGTTTTATTTCATACTTTATGGATATATAATACAAATTACAGTATGTATGAATCTAAAAGCAAATAAATGGAAAAGAACTACCAGTTTAAAAAAATATTATAATTCATTCTGCAACATGGTAGTTAAATGATTTGCATCAAGCTGATACTACTGTTTGTTTTTAACTGTTGTTATTAACAACTTGTGGAAAATAAATTTTCAGTATTCCATTTCTTTTAGTCATTTGTGTTGCTCTTCCTCTGATGAGACAATGAAAGCAGCATGCCTTACAGTTCACTTTCTGTTCTCTGATTCCCCTTCACTAACTCAAAGTCATCTGGTAAATTACACAAGAACATACAAATGAATCATGACTGCATTTTATGAACTCCTAAGAATATTTGTGCACATTTTATATTTAGCAAAATCTGCCTAATTTTAATCTGGGGCTTAAGTCTGGCTACCAGTATTGTCTTTGTCATACTGTGTCATAGTGTGCTATAGAAGTGGATTTGCAGCAGGAAACTGTTGGCAATGAAGCCTGGTGTCCACGCTATCCATGTTGTGGGGGATTACTTTGAAGTAGCCTTAGTCTGGATGCATGTTAGCAGTTGAAGCACGTCCATCCACTCACTGGTTTGGTTTCACACACTCCAGGACCATTCTGCAACTGAAGCTTGGCAATTGGAGACCATAGGGATAGTTGTTTAAAAACATTCTCCTGATCCAGAACAAAGCACTAACAAAGGCACACCAGATGAAGCTCAGTTCCCCATCACCTTGTTGTTTCTCGTCTTATGTTCTCCTAACTGAAGCACTTATGTTTAAAATCAAGATGAGAAGGATTTAGCCCTTAAAGAGTACAGCTAGGTAAAAGAATATGCTTGATCATTCAAGGTCCAGAGAGTTTTTCATAAACACTCTCCAATGAAGTTCTGAAATTGCTGAAAAAGAAAACTGTGGTTATTCAGTGCCCAAGATCCTTATGTTTTCTATTAAATTGTTGGCTGGCTGTGTGCAAACAAGTCACGATGTTAGCTTCAGCTAGTAGAAACAGGTGCCACTCCAGTTAGCACAGTGCAGGTTTGGCAATGAGCAGCAGCAGAGGGCGGCTATTAACTTACACAGTTCTTTTCAATCTCTACTTCTTTTCTTTCCAAGCAGCAGGTTTCAGTTGCCCTGACTGTTCTCACCATCTCCACTCTCACTGTCAACAAAGAATGGAGCCCTGATTTTCATGGCCGAGTATTTTAGCGAGTACCACATCCCATGCCACGTAGACCAAACTATGCCATTGTCATGGGATCCATTGTACCTTCCTGTTCTGTAGTATCGTCCATTGAGGTTTACAGCATGGCACCTTGTAACAATGTAGGAGAGGGAAAATGGAGATTAGTTTAGCGTGGGAAGACATTGCATCATTACAGTGAAGTACAATTGTCACACAGCACACATTTGGAAATACCAGGGTGGGATTCATCGACAGGTTCAGGCACCTAGATGTATCTGTCTGTACTAAACTGGTTCTCTACTATAGTCTGTGGAGGTCTGGTTAATGCATTTAATGGAGGCCAGAGAATTAGGTGGGTCATCCTAAAGTAGACACCCATGCTTGACACATAATTCAACCCATTGACTCCTTCAAGTCAGTAGGGCCATGATTCAGTTGCCTAGACAGAGGGGTGTAGTGCCATTTAGTAGGCTCTAGCTCCAGTGTAGGCAGCTATGTATTGACACCTAAAAATGCAGATGCCTTTTAATCAAAGTAAATCCCACTATTTATATACATTTTTGTAACTCCACTGATTTAAATTTGCGTGGGATGAGGGCCTGGTCAAAGAGGCAGCTCATCTTGCACTAAAGCAGAGAAGAACCAAGAGCTGTGTGTCATGTCCATGCTCCCAGGGCAGGTGAACCTGAGTCCCTGTCTGTTGGTGTGTGGGGTATGCCCAACTAGCAAACATACCATCAGGACTATTAAGGGGTAGCTCACCCCCTAGACGTGCTCTACAACAGAGAAATATCTTTTGTACATACTTCACCTTGCAGTGGCTACAATTACTTTCTTTCCTGGGATATAACCCAAAGCACATGGAAGAATTTAATTGTGCTCTTTTCCTTCCAGGTCATTCCCCACTGTGCATTTACTCTGACTCATTTGCTGTCCTAGTTTTTAGCTGGGAGAGAGCTAGGTTTCTTTTTAGAAGCTAGAATAGTTCTGTGTTTTGGTTTCAGCCTGGGATTTGTTATGAGGGAAACATTGATAACATACCAATGTTTTCATTTTTGTCGCTGAAAGTGAAGGTCTTCATGCTTTGTTAGTTTACAAGCGCAAGATCTTAGGGGGCGAGGAATATTTAAATTAATAAGCTAAATTGGCATTTGGATATGCCAGTGGGATATTCCATATCATGTAACGTCATGTCCAGTATATCAGTGAGGGTCTCTTCCTCTTTTGGCTCTCTCTGACTTTCACTCGGGCTCTCACTTTTCCGGGATTGCGGTTTTGGTTCAGGATTGTCACTCCTCCAGGTTCGTTATCTGGGAACGGGCTGGGCTTGGTTGGCAGGTGGTGGGCAATTGCACTGTGTATCACTCATTTACATATTTAATTACTAGTATTACTATTATTATTATCTTGATATCAGTATTATTTTAAGTTTTGTTTTATTTCAATTATTCAACTATTCTTATCTCAATCTATGAGTCGCCTTGCCCTTGCCCCCAGTTCTCTACCCTATCCCCTGGGCTGGGGGGAATGAGTGAACGGCTGTGTTTGGCTGCTAGCCAAGTGAAACCACCACGTTTGCTTAATATGAGTGCAACTTACCTGTGGCCCAGTTTCTTAAAATGAATGCAACTTACCTGCTTTGCTTCATAACGAAAGAAGCAGATTGCTTTCCTTTCAGGATCTGTAGGTGTGAACATCTTAGATTTGGCTGTGTGAGGTGGCAAACACACACAGCAACCTCCAGCTGCTGTAAGGCAGGCAAGTCCTCTTGGCTGTACAACCACCCACACCCTACACATCTGAGAGGAATCAGCTGTTTTCCATACCTGTTAAACCACCAACCGCCCTTGTTCTCTAATGCGCAGTTGCCTGCAAGGAATCGATCATGATCTTTGTCAGATGTGGTGAACTGCATCCCTCTGTGAGAGGCTGACCACTGATCTTCAAAATTGCTCCCACCAGACAGAGCGTCGCCAGTGTTACCAGAATAGGTGCCAAACCATAACCTGTAATTGTCCTGCAAAAATATGTGAAACATGGCTTTGGTATCAGCTCTTTCTGCCCTTCCTCCTATTTTTTAGATCAAATTTGCTCTAGTCATTGTATCTGCTATCAAAGGCATGACTGTTGAAGTCAAGGGTGACTTTTGGACGTGCTTTAATGATCCCAGTGTAGATCACTACAGGATTTAAACTTCCAGATTGCTAGTTACTGCTGCTGCTACAAAGGTCTTCAGGCTTTATTGTCTTTCAGTAACCATTTGATACACTATACAACAAGCTGGAAGGCTCTTCCTAGCTCATCAAGAACAATTTGGCAGGAAACTGTGCCAACTAGTTGGCATAAACTGATCAGTTCATAAACTGATGAGTTCATAAACTGATCAGTTGTTCATCAAGAATAACTCCGTAGTAATTTTGCTCCTCCAAGAACTAGAAGCCATCTTGATTTCTAGCTAAATGTTCCTGTCCTTGTAGGAATACTTAGAAGAATAATTCCATTGTGCACAGCTAACAGACCTAAGAGACACTTGATAAGAGATGGATGATGGATGCAAACCTCATGAAGTTCAACAATGCCAAGTGCAAGGTCCTGCACCTGGGTTGGGGCAACCCCAGGCACAAATACAGGCTGGGTGGAGAATGGATTGAGAGCAGCCTTGAGGAGAAGGACTTGGGAGTACTGGTGGACAAGCAGCTCGACGTGAGCAGGCGATGTGTGCTCATAGCCCAGAAGGCCAACTCTATCCTGGGCTGCATCAAGAGAAGCGTGGCCAGCAGGTCGAGGGAGGTGATTTTGTCCTACTCAAATCTTGTGAGACCCCACCTGGAGTACTGCGTCCAGTTCTGGGGCCCCCAATGTAAGAAGGACATGGACTTACTAGAGTGAGTCCAGAGAAGGGCCACAAGGATGATCAGAGGGCTGGAGCACCTCTCCTATGAGGACAGGCTGAGAGAGTTGGGACTGTTCAGCCTGGAGAAGGGAAGGCTCCAGGGAGACCTTATTGCAGCCTTCCAATACCTGAAGGGGCTACAGGAAGGCTGGGGAGGGACTTTTTCCAAGGGCATGTAGCGATAGAACAAGGGACAATGGCTTTAAACTGGAAGAAGGTAGGTTTAGATTCTTTCCTGTGAGGGTGGTGAGACACTGGAACAGGTTGCCCAAGGAAGTTGTGGATGCCCCCTCCCTGGAAGTGTTTAAGGCCAGGTTGGATGAGGCTTTGAGCAACCTGGTCTAGTGGAAGATGTCCCTGCTCATGGCAGGGGGTTTGGAACTAGATGATCTTTAATGTCCCTTCCAACCCAAACCATTCTATGATTCTATGATTACTTTTGTGGTGTGGGCTTTTTCCCATCATCATATTCCACTTTTATTTATTAAAAATAGCTTTAAGGTATTAAAATGCAGCTGTTTGAACTTTTCATAAGGAAACTCTAATTGCAAACTTTATGTAATGCATACATTTCTGGAGCAGTGATGGAGATGGAACTAGGACTGGTCTGTGCAATGGAACTCATGTCCTTGAGTATTCAGGCTACTTACACGTGGTGTTCAGAAAGGCGGCCCTGCGAAGAGCAGCACCTGCAGTGAGCAGGACACTGTCTCAAGCTAGAACGCACACATGGAAGTACAGGGATGTGTCTGTCTTTGGGTTTTCTGTGTCTGTAGCACTAAGTGTAGTGCTACGGGTACCACTCTTCAAGTTGGGAACTTAAAACTGCTCTTTCAAGGCTTTGATTAGAGTTCACTGTTTTCTTTTTAAACAAAGTAGAGAGGATTTGTTCTGGTTACTGCCTTTTATGTGACAGTCTGAAACACCCTCCCAGGAAGCAGGAGAACAGGATTCAGTTTCCTTGCAGAGGTTCAGATCATTATCTCCTCCCTCATGGAGGGCTCCTTTAACCATGAGGCTGGAGGCAAATGCATGTGGGAATCCCTGTGCCCTGTGGCAGAGAGCTGCTCTCTGTGCAGCAGCAGAGTTAGCAAGAGAGCACGCACGTGTACGTGTGGTCCTGTCACCCGGTGGCTCGGGCACTCAGGGGTTGTGAAGGAAGAAGTTCCAGGCATACATCCCTGCTCCCAGATAAGCTTTGCAGAGCTGTAATTACAACCCTGATACTGAAGTCTGATGCTGCAGATGCCCCACCCTCCCAGATAAAACAAGCAAATCAACACTCTCCCCGTTTCTTACCTGCTCATTTGCAAGCTGGAAATTTTCATAGATTGCATAACGTTTTTCCCCGTGCCAGTCCATCAGGTCAATCTTTAATGAGATCTCTCCTAAACACAAAGCCATGTCCTGTTAAAATGAACTCTCACATGCAAATTGTAAAGAAATCTGTGGAGGGAAAATACTTGCACCTCTAGCGAGCAGGTCATAGATGTGGTCATTGCCCAGCCAGTATTCATCATTCTTGCCCTGGAATTTCCCAAATCCCAGTTTGTAATCATCCCATTTCCTGCAGTGAGATACAAATATCGGTTGCAGCATGTGAGGGAATTAGTTTGTGAGACTTAGCTATGGTAACAAGTAAAACTTCACCTGTGTCTCTAGACAAGGTTTTCTAAAAGTATCTGATTCGTTGCAAGCTGAGCTGAAATTTGTCACTCTGCCTTAGAAGTAAATACAACTCACAGCTTACTTCTCTCGTTAAACCTGTGCGCACACATATATTGGGATCAAACCTTCAAACTGTCAGATGCAGTGCTCACAGAATAAGGTTGTCAATTAGATGGAAAGCAGCAGCTGTCATATTGGTCTCAGCAAAGCATCTGATACCATTCTTCAGCAAGTCATAATTCAAATGCACTCCTAGTTGGAAATTAATTTTGCAGTCTAAAATATGCTACAATCTTGGATGTATGGTGTGGTATGGTGAAGAATCAGAAACTGAATAGAAGCTGCAAACAAAAGCTTCCAGATGAAGAGAAAAGGAAAATATCTGGGTTTTCTTTGTGCTCCTTTTCCATTTAAATCTGTTTTTGATTCATTGACCATTCTCACCTCTGCTTTTTTGCAGGATCACTGTCTGGATGTGGCAACTTTTCCTTCAAAAATATTTACTTACTTTTCGTCAGTATTCTCTGAGTTCATCTTTCTAAAAGAAATCTCCTGCTATTATTTTCTTCTCATAATTTCATTCTCTCAAAATCTCCTCTGTTATTTATGTATTACCTTTGATATTCACATATACTTCCTGTGAATCATAATTTCCAGCTCTACTAACCCCATGTTTATTCCCTCTCTCATGTTGTTATTAGGGATATTAGTTCTGCCTGACCTACATACCAGTCAGTGCTCCTCTTCAGGATGTTTTTCATTCACATGTGCTGAGAGCTGAACTACCATGGCTAGTTAGTTAGCTACCATTCTTTGGGCAAGCCAGCTTAAAGCCAGTTGAGGTAGCTTTGCAGTGGACTGCACTCACTGAAAGAGGCACTAAATATGCCCTGAAATTGCATGTGCTGTGATAGTGAATTAATCTGCATGGGAATGTTTCTTCTTTACTGTGCTACCAGAAAATCTTTCCTCCTGGAGATTTCCAGGTGAAAGTTATCTCTCTGGGATTTTCGCATAGAGAAAGAACAATCTGGACCAGTGGTTTGGCTTATTTTTTAATTATCTGAATAAAGAAATAAATGTTACACCATGCTGAAAATGATTCCCAGTATGAGAACAGACATTAATGTTTATAAATATGTTAAGGGCAGATGTCAGGAGGATGGAGCCAGGCTCTTCTCAGTGATGCCCAGTGGTAGGACAAGGGGCAATGGGTGTGAGCTGGAACACAGGAGGTTCCGCTTAAACTTGAGAAGAAACTTCTTTACAGTGAGGGTGACAGAGCCCTGGGACAGGCTGCCCAGGGAGGTTGTGGAGTCTCCTTCTCTGGAGACATTCAAAATCCTGGACACCTTCCTGTGTGATCTCATTTAGGTTCCTGCTCTGGCAGGGGGATTGGACTAGATGATCTTTTGAGGTCCCTTCCAATCCCTGACATTCTGTGATTCTGTGATTATGTTTAATAGGTCTCAGTCTATGTGCTGGCAGCAGATGCCTGCCACTTTGGAGCCCTCAGCAGTCCCCAATAATGATAAAACAAATATGCACACATGTACACCCTTACCCAAATGCAGAGAAGCCATGGAAAAGGCTTTATAGGTCCATTTTGAAAATGGCCTCCTGCTGCCAACGTGTACCCCCACGTTAACCTAATGCACAGAGTTATCTTCACTAAAGCATAGTCTTGCATATCCTGCTTCTGAAATGTTGAGTTCCGACAGGCAGCAGGACAGAGGGTGGCAGCTGGAGACCTGACTGTGAGCCCTGTTGATTCAACCATGGTGCACCCACCTGTTGAAATTCTCCTTGCCATTACTCCGCCGCTGAATGACGGTCCAGCCCTCACCATCAGACATGTCACAGTATGCCAGGAAGGGGTCTTGGTCTGCTCTAGGCCTGATCCGGTAGTAGCCGTTTGTAGCCTTCTTCCGATTATACAGTGCAGAGCAATCTAGGCACAACAGTATCAGTTTGTTAAACAGGGCAGGGGGATGGCAAAGGGGTACGTGCAGCCAAGAGAAAACATTGCTGAGAGACTGTGTGGGACAAGGACACTTGGCCAGGCTGTGTAATAGCTCTGCAGGCCTTGCAAAGGCAAAGCAAATGGTTCATAAGGTAGTAGCAATGCTGCTTTGCAAAATGCTGGGCCCGATGAAGAGCAGCAAGGCTTGAGAACCCATGCCCTCTGAGGGAGTCATTCCCAAATCTTTGGTGAGATATGGGCCAGCTGCAGCTCAGGCTGGGGCTATAGCATGGACATGACACAGGACCAGGACCAGCTCTGTCAGCAGGATCATTTGCAGGGAAGCTAATTTCCATGTGGAAGGTAACCTCAGCTGTACTTCAGACTGTATTGGGGCCCAAAATTGCTAAAATGAGAGGCTGAGTTCCTGTGACTAGCTCTACCACGGCTGTATCAGGAGAGCGCCTTTCAGGACCTCAGTGTTTCACACTTTCAGTGTAATGCTCATGAAGGAGAAAATCTTGGCCACAGGCCATGATTCCAGTTATGACCATGTTCTCAAAGTGATACCAAGGAACAGAGAACGCACACCTGCTACTGTGCCACAGAAGTGATTGAGGAGCCAAGGAACAGGGAGCCTGGGCTCCTCCAAATAGTTTTCAGTGCCCGCAGCTGAGCCAGGCACTCTGGGCTCCCATAAGTCACTCAGGGGAAATGGGTTCTTCCAGAGCAAGACCTACCTCTTCCTAAAGCAGGTATCTAAAGCAGGTCTGATGGAAAACAGCTAAGAGGTGCCTGTTCCTCTCTGCACCAGAGTCCCAGGTGAGGAGCCCAGCTGCAGGTGTCTGCTTTGTACCTGGGCGGTAGCTGCTTAAAGCTGGGGCAACTGACTCCAGCCCTGGGAATGTCTGCTGGTACCAGGGCCAGCAGTCTGCCCTTCTCCTTCCCATGTATCTGACTGCATTTTAAAACACAATCCACTTTAAAAATTCTAAAACTTTTATCCGAAATAAAATATGACACATGGGGCACTTCAAGGAGAAATAAACATTGTGGCAAGCTGAAATTTCCATATGTGCTACTGCAAGCCATACCTTGGTCATAGACTATCAAATTTCCACTGGTTGTGGGTAAATGCATCTCATGTTGCATGCTCCTGTTGCCTGAGAACAGCCCACTTTTTGTTCTATGGTAAGTGTTCTCCAGAATGTCCTTCAGTTGCAGCTCATATAAGTAATGCAAGTCTTGAAGGTGTTTTAACCTTTGTCTTAATTTATTGTTGTCTTGGAGGCAGATATCTTTTTCCTATGGAGAAAATAAAACAGAAAACCCCATGCTTCAGTCAATGGTAAGAACAGAGAGGCAGAGAAAGGACTGTCTCTTTCCTCTTGATCCTAACATGTCACACTGCCTCTGTGGATAAAGGCAATTTGATGGTGGTGTTTCTCTAAGATACATGAACTGTGCACTCAACATGGGCTGTTGAGTTGAACCCAAAGCTCTGGAAAAGAGCTTTCTGCAATGATCCTGCCACTGCTCAGAGCATCCCAGAATATGATCAGGTATGCAGAAAAGCACTTGGACAAAAATCATTCATCTTGATTCCCATTTAATGAATTCAAAGGGACTCTTTGCAGACTATTAAACTGCTCAGGGTAGTAAAAGGAGAAAAATCAGCTCTCGCACTGCAGCCTGTCCAAACCAGCGAGGTTTCAGAAGCGTCTTCTTGTAAAACTGGAAAATAAAAGAGTTGATATTTGGTGCAAATCAGCAGAAAGCAGTGAGCCTAGCAGGATCAGTGGAGTAGCTTCAGAGCTGCATTACCATAGCCAAGATCAGAATCTGGTCCACACTGACTGGGGTAAACATTTCCAGTGACAATCTAGTCTGTGGTTGGTGTTACTCAATTAAAAATGTAAGAAAATAGAACAAAGTATCTTCCAAGACAATCAAGCAAGCCTGTGCAGTAAGAATCAGTTGCTATTTTCACTTTGAGCAAGCTGGCTTGAGTGATACCAGGTCAGGACCAGTTCTAGGTATAAGCAAAACAAGCAGTTGCCCCGGACAGCAGACTGATGATCCTGCAGAAATGTGGCTTCCCAGCTGCCTCTTCCTTCTCCTAGGCCTGTTGGTTTTCCTCCACAGAGGATTTCCAGGCTGGAAGCACACAGGGACCTGCTGCAGACAACCCCAAGCTCGCCAAACTCTCCCTGCCAAAATCTGTACCTCCTTGGGATTGCCCAAGAGTAATTTGCTCATCAGAAGAGTATAGATTGCCTCAGACTATGCCTACGATGTCTTCTCCTTTCTGCTTTTTAAATTGCAATGAATAAATGAAGGCAGTTTTCCCCGAGGGAACAGAGCAGAGTATTTTTTTCAGTGGCCACAAGATCAATTTTTTGTTTCTTTAAGGGGTTTTTGTTGTTGGTTTTAATTCTTGGCAATGTCAGTCCAGCCATCCAGAAGGCTGCCCACCCTCTAATGCCATGAAAACCCTGTATAATCAAGACAGCAAGTGACCTTCCTTTAGCTGCAGGCAGACACCTTTTTGCTCTGCTCTTGCATGACCACGTCCCTTTTGTGGGGGAGCACATAACTCTGCATGACTGGGAATGATAAATCATTGAGTACAGACACTGGCTGAGAGATACGCACCGACAACCTGGGTGCAGGTGAACCAAAGCTGACCAGGAAAAGGAGCAGCAGTGACCAGGACATCATCATGCTTATTTCTCATCACCTGAAAAGAAGTATTAACACACTGTACTGAAGGTTTCTTTAGTTCCTCTCACGACTTAATCCCCTCTCACAATCACATTTAATTACCTGGAAAATGCTGCAGGACTTGTTAAGGAATTTGCTTGAAACTATAGGCAGTAAAAAATGGATGAAGTTGATCCCTAAGATGCACGTTAAGGAGAAGCTAAAACAGCAGTGCAGTGTGCTGACAGGGGGATCAAGTCTTGGGCCCAGGCTTCCCTGGAGAAATAAATACTGGGCATGACTCTCTGCCAGCCTCTGCCCCTTCTCTTGAGTGCCCACGCAGACAGGAAAGTTTCTCAGCAATAACGCCTCCTTGAAGCACTCCTTGCCAAACTGGTTGGCCAAAATCCTGCAGTCCTTATTCAGTCCAAAATCCCCAAAGTTAAGAGGAATTTTTCCTCCTGGTTGAGTGAGCATAGGCATTGCCCCTCCTCGGTCCATGGAGTGGTCTGCCAGGATGGGATTACCTTGGAGGTGAGGACAGAAGTCACACGTGGGACAGACTGGGCATGGGATAGTTTTTGCTTGGATTTCAGCGGGAGAGATCTCTGCTGCCGGCCTGCCCCAGCACACAGATGGGGCTTCAGTCAGAGAGTCTCAGCTCAAAAAAATGCTAAGTGACTGCCACTGGGAACACACAGCTGAGTGCGAGCAAACAGTACAAATTGTTCGCAGTGTGCTTGCATGGTGCTTTAAAAAAAAAAAAAAAAGAATTAAAAATTTCTGAAAAATAGGCTAAAACCAACTCCCCCGCTTCACATCTGGAAGTGCTGCAGAAACTTGGCTACCCAGCTCTATGCTCTCAGCGACGTGCTTTGTTTCAGCTACAGCTCTGTTAGCATCCCCGCAGCAGCTAATGCTAGGGCTGCTTCCAGAGCCAGCAAAGCCGCTGTGACAGGGGAGCCATCTGCCAAGCTGGGCAGGCCAGGGCCCAAGGCAAGCCCTGTGGAAGTCACTCATAAAAGATGTCCTGCAGGTGGGTGTCCCACCCAGCACGTGGCATTTTTTCAGCTCATAGAGAGAAGAGTTCAATATTACAGCAGGGGACCCCGGAGCCCGTGACCACTGGTGCTGTTCATTCACACTGCTCCGCGGCAGCCGTGCCAGTGGCTGCAGCACCAATGCTGAAATAGGAATTGGGCCCCACAGCACGTGGGCGGAGGCAAAAAGCTAACAGGAAGGATGGGTTTGAGCAACGGCTTCTGAAAACCAGACAGTGCAGACCAGAAGGAAAGAAAGCAACTTCATCTACACCTTTATCAACATGTATTAAATGCACATACCTGTAACGTGTGCTTTTCCTTCAGACCTCCTCCTGATAAGATTAGCTCCCTTAAAAGTCAGCTGCAAAATAAAGCAATCATAGACCTGGCTGCATTTCTAGAGGTCGATGATTTCCTCTCCAGATGGCCCACATCAAGGGCGCAGACACAGAACGTTTCACAGCGCTAGGCAGCTCCACAGAAAAGACACTTGCAATTCCTCACCTGAAAGAGTTACCCAAACCCTGAGTTATCTGTTGTTACCCAATACTCATCCTGCTGCTTCTCACTGAGGATAAACAAGTTAGGTTTCTATCAGCGGTGCTCTTCAAAGGAGAGGGGCTCTGCTGGTTGTGCACCATTACCCACCTCATTTGACTAGGAAGCTCAACCAAGGCAGACTTCTTTAAGTGTTTATATGAATCACTCAGACTAATGCTCCCTGTGGGAGTTTTATCTCACATTTAATACAGCCAGGCTCATTTCAGTAAGTCCTGCAAGGTGGAAATAACGCAGCTTTTCCCTTCAGCATTCCTTTTGCTGTTTAATCTGGTTTATATGTAAAAGCACAGCACAGCTGTAACGCCAAAGGAGCTGCAAATCTGAAGCAAGATGCGAACACAGGGGTATTAAGCAAGATTCGCTATTTGACTGAAATCTCAGGAGGTTTGCGGTTGTGTAACTCTCCTCTGAGCTGGATGATTAGATTTTCTAGTTAACACAAACAGGGACATTTGTGGAAGAGAGTAGAAAAAAACCCAAACAAACAGATGGGTGCCTCCCTTTGCATTATGGCCAAGGAATTATGGATTATTTTAAAGCAAACAGCAGGAACGTTCTGTTTCACAGAGCTGTGTTCAGAGGAGAGACTGTGCGGCCAAAAGGCAAGGCACATAAGCCCATTGTAAACTTCTGTGTTAATCTCCAGGAAAGCAGGACTGTCCAGCTCTTACCAAGTACAGCAACGCTATTTATTTCTTAAAAATGGCATTCCTCTTCTCCTGCAAGAACCGCTGACCCATTTCACTGCCAAAGGATTATGTAAACAGTGCTTTTCTTCTCACTTGCTCTCTACCTCCAGTTTTAGGCTGGTTTTGGCAGCTGTGAAATTAAATGAGTGAAATGTCTCCTCTCCTCCATAGTGGGTACTTGGTCCTTTCTCCCACGCCTTCTGCCAGTACCTGCAGCCGACTGCGGGGTGCTGGGGTTCCATGCTCCTGAGCACAGGGGGGCTGCACACCATCCCCTGGGGCTGTCAGCCACAGCAGCATCTCTTTCTCAGCTGGAGCCAGCCAGGCAGCGCTTGAGACACTGCACACCAATTAATGCTCTTGCCTAGATGGCTGATGTCCTCCTTGACCCACGAGCACCTCTCAGTCCTGAGTGGGATGGGCGATGGACCTGGGTCTGCAGTGGCAGTGTTGGAGTCCCGGTGTGCCCAGCACGGTCAGCCCCCACAGCTGTCTGCAGGGCCCTACGGCCAGGGAGCATCGAGCAGCGCGTCTCTAACTCCTGCTGGTCCCTGGGGAGGAGGGGGTGCTGGAGCTGCAGTCTTGATGGGACTCACACATGGATGTTAAGTGACTGCAACTTTGCAGAAGCAGGACTCAAAGTCCAAATCTCCTTCAGGGACACCCCAAGAGCCTCTCAGAACCAAGATACCTGGAGCATTCTCATGCTCTCTCAAGGACTCCACCAGTGTTAGCCTCACCAATATCTACATGTGAAAAACTCAGTCAGCTGGAACATGTTTCTTGCATACCTGTGACACAATGAACTTATTTTCTCAGGCTAGATGAAGCTTTAGGAATATCGGAAGCACAAGCAAGGGATTTCCATGAGGTTGAGCTCATGTGCGATGGGTCTAGCAGGAGGGTATGTTCATGTGCAGCTCCACTGGCCCAGAGCTAAAATAATCAAGTAATCATAAAGAACATGGACATTCTGTGACCGCTGATGTTGTTTCCTCACAGATGTTGAAGTCCCGAGGCAGTGGGACTGTAAATGCTTTTCTTTTTTTCTGTTTTTTGGTTGTTTTTTTTTCCTGGAATACTCATACTTCACACATTCTGCAGTGCAAATTCCTGCTTAGTTACTTGGAAGGAGATCAAATTCCCTCTTAATACACACAGTGATCTTGTCAGCAAATAATAAGAGTTTCATTAACTAAAAACCTCCCCACCCTGCTCTCCTCCACTCTCCTTCCAGCAAAAGTAGGTAGGTGCTGAATAACAGTCATAAAAAACTATTATACACACATTAAATGCACAGCCAGCACAGCAAACTGATGGATAAATATGGATGAAGAGAGTGGCTCTTGATATTGCTGCAATCATGGGGTGCCGAGCTCCCCCAGAAAGGATGGTTCAGGATGAAGACATGAAGATGACACCTGATGAACATTCACCGCCCCCAGGGCCCAATGGAACATCACTGCAGCTGGAAGACAGCGGTGGCATCTCAAAACTCTCCCAAGACAAGCCCCTTGTGGTTTGTTTGTTCTTAAAGGGGGAAGGGAAGAAATGAGGTGGATTGCTTCAGACTCCAAAGGAGGTATAGAGACATGAGGGTTTCACAGCAAGAGTCTGACTGTCCAGCTGGGCCCTAGGAAAATTCAGAGTAGTCTGAGCCAGCTCCAAGGGAAACATTTCATTTGCATTCAATCCAAGTGCTTTATGCATTTGCCGTTATATTTATACTTCTCTATCACGTCCCACCTTCCATGAACATCATGCTCACTGGGAGACACTGTGGGTCAGGCTCCTTTGCAGGTGTGGAGGTACCAGGGGCCTGCAGGCTCTCCGTGTGTGAGCTACTATACCTCTTCTGTAGGAACCTGGGCTGCCAGGTTTTTTAAGTCAGTGTATGAGATCTAAAAGAAATATTTAATTTTTTTTTAATCTAACAATAAAGGATTTCATTAAAAGTAAGATAAATTTAAAACATCAGGATGACATCAGCTGCCATAGTTTCAATCTACAAAATAACCGAAACCAGCATATGTGCGTTAAAAGTCTGTGGTTTGTTAGTAAGGAATAACGACAGAAATCTGTGTACAAAGGAGTAATGGAAGACCATGAAACACGCTAGATCTGAATGTTTTGATAATGTTCAAAGAGCAAAGACATCATTCAGTCTAACTAATGAGTCTCTCTGCAGCCTATGAGTATTTAATGGGTTGACACAACAAATGTAATTAGTTTGTAAGTTCCTGAGGGCAAGCACAGGTCCGAGCGGATCTCACTTACCTCAGGAATAGCTGTACCAAAGGGAATTAGTCACAAGGCCAGAGGGAGTATGTGGATTATCTGCGTGATCTTCTACCTACCTCAGGTCAGAGAACTCCCCTGACCCAATTCACTCCCATTTGAACTAGAGCATCTCTTTGAGAAAAAGACATTTTGGTGTAAAACAGCCAGTGCTGAAGAACCAGCCACAGACATTAGCATGCTCTTCCACAACTAAATTACCCATTGTTAATTATTATTGGTTTTGTCCTGAGTCTGAATCTGCCAAGTCTCATCCTGCAGCCTTTTAATCTCATTATGCCTTACTCTGCGAAAGGGAAGAACCCTCTGCTGCCAAAAGTCTTTTTCCCTGCTTAAGACTAGGGCCAAGTATCTAACAAGCTGTATGGCTGCCCCTGCCTGGAAACCCAAACCCCAGTGACCTATTCCAGCTGCGGGCGTATGTGTTGGGGGAAAGCCAGCAAGGTCACAGAGCAGGGGGTTGCACAGACCTTGTCCTGGGCAAGGCTGGGCACCACAGCATGAGCACATCCTCAGAAAAGAGCACTAGTGGGTAGAGCACTCAGCTGGCATGGGGAAGGAGGAAGGACAAGAGCAGGTTCTGCTCCTGTAGTGATTTTTTTCAGGGCTGTTTAATGCAGAAGGCATACACAGAGGCAACAAGAGTTGTGGGTGGTGTATGGCAGTGTGTGGTGGAGGTCTCATTGGGCTTGTTGAGGGGGCTCCAGGGACTACAATACTCCTCTGCCTAGATTTGGGATCCTGTTCCAACCTAGCCAGGCACAAGAAGCAGAGATAAGTGGACAGGACAGTCCAGGGCACACACAGGTACAAAACTGCAGGTTCTGGGTGGATCTCTGCAGCCCAACAGAAAGGTGCTCAATCAATTTAATTGCTTCTAGGCAGCTGCTGAACAAGTACCTTCCTAGAGCTAAATTTTGAAGCTTTAAGTCTGCTTACACCCTTTTTTGGGCACCTAGACATTTTTCTAGATCCAGTCCTGACTGACTGTGACTATGTCACTTGTTACCTTTTCTTTCATACAAGGGACAGCTTTGAGGTCCTCGACCCAAGTGTAATGAGGAGCACTTCATAGCCTTTTATTCATATCATGGTTCTTCCCTCTTTCTTCCAAAGTTGTGGTTGCCAGGACTGGAGAGCCGAGAGTGCACAGGAGCCAAGTAAAATTCTCAAGCAGTGTTTCCAACCCAACATCTTTTCTGTTTGTGGATCCAAGGATCCTGTTATTCCTTTTGCCACAGACCATGTGCCAAAATCACCTGTGGTTGGCTATGCTCTGCTGCTGCCTCAGGACTTTTCAGAGTTACCTTTTTCATAGTGCAGTCACTGGTGCTCCAAGTCTGACCTGCCATGGTGTTACTCCGTGCAATCAGGATGATTGTGATTTGCAACACATGCGAAGTTAGTTAAGAAATGTGTGATTGCTTTTTTACAGAATCACAGAATCACAGAATGTCAGGGATTGGAAGGGATCTCAAAAGATCATCTAGTCCAATCCCCCTGCCGGAGCAGGAACACCTAGATGAGATCACACAGGAAGGTGTCCAGGCGGGTTTTGAATGTCTCCAGAGAAGGAGACTCCACAACCTCCCTGGGCAACCTGTTCCAGTGCTCTGTCACCCTCACTGTAAAGAAGTTCCTTCTGAAATTTAAGTGGAACCTCCTGTGTTCCAGCTCACACCCATTGCCCCTTGTCCTACCATTGGACATCACTGAGAAGAGCCTGGCTCCACATCCTCCTGACATTTGCCCTTAACATATTTATAAACATTAATTAGGTCTCCCCTCAGTCTTCTCCA